CTCTCTCTCTCTCTCTCTCTCTTTCTCTCTCTCTTTCTGGACGTTTCTTTATTCTGGGGAGTGAAGACTGGATTTTTTGTCTCGAGGGTGGCTGTTGCGTGTAAATTTTGGTGTACTGATATATTATTGTTATATGTGAAGCATCGTGGTGAAATGGGGTGCTCGTCAAAATAATGAAATCAAAGAAATCGGCATTTTTTCTGCCCGTTGGGCAATTTTTTCGAATTTTCTCTTATGACTCAACACTATTAAGTTATATAAATTTAAGAGGCGGGACCTCAGAGTTGAACGTTCATCTCCGAAAGGACCGAGTCAAATAGGAAATTCATGTAAAGTGTCTTTCCCAGAGACACAAAGTCGACCGAGTTGAGTCTCGAACCCCCCGAACCCACAATCTCAAGATTACGATGAGTCCGGTAGCCTAACCACTCGGCCACTGACGCCACGCATAAGGTTGTATGAGCGCCAAGGGGTGGATGTCAACAGAGATGTCCAAACGGGGAATCAGGCTTACTCTGCTCACGTCTCTAGCCTCAACAGCACAAAGTCTGCTTCGACTATCAAGGCACCCGGGAAATAGCAGTCCGCATACAAAAAAGTAGAGAGAAAATGACGATACTCTACTTCTTTTGTACGTCTGTCACTCTCTTGTGAACTGCTATTTCCGGGGTGCCTTGATAGTCGAAGCAGACTTTGTGCTGTTGAAGCTAGAGACATGAGCAGAGTAAGCCACCCCTTGGCGCTTATAATTATGACCTTATGCAGTTGCGAGCGCCGTAAAACCTTACTAAAACATAAAACAAGAGTTGTCATATCCTGGAAGCAACAGCTGAAGGGAAGAGAAGGGAGGAGGAACAAGACAGAAGAGGGGGATAGGAAACAGTTCTAAACTTGGCTTGGAACCAAAAACAACCCCAGACAGGCAGAATTGTAAGAGACAGAGAGTGTTTTGAGGCAGAAAAGTCCGAGGGGGGAAGGGGGCAAGGTTCAACGACTGGAAAAGCTCAAAGGAAAAAGGAGAAGTGTCACGGGGTATTCTGGAACGACAGCGCAAAGTATAGACTCTCTGGGAAAGTGTACAACCTGTCCTTGTTTTTTTTTCCAAAAACATGGAACCAC